TGGGGGTCGGGGTGGGGGGTGGTGCAGTGTAAAAGATTGGATTCGTCCCCGATGATTATCAGAAAAAAATTTCCAGGCCTCGGGATATCTGTGCCATCTGCTGGTCAGACCAGAGGACAGGTCAGTGTTACAAGCAGGGCTGTCCTGTTGAGTACTTTTAAAAATCTGCTATTATGTAGTTGCTATTTTTGTGTATAAATGTTTGTGTCGTGATTTATGCAAATGCTAAAGATATAAACTGCCTTTTAAAACAATAAAGGAAATGTAGTACTTTTAAAGAATGCATGTGGATATATATATATTTTTAAATATTTAACTTGGTTTCGAGCCTCAAAACAAACTTTAAAACTGATTTTAAAGATCAATGACCAAGATTAGTTTCTCCTTTAAAAACATTTAGAATAGTACAATTTTAGAGCTGGAAGGGTTATAGTTATCTTTTTAAAAGCAGACTTTATTTTTTAGAGCGGCTTTAGGTTCACAGCTAAATTGACAAGTTGACATCTTAACCACATCAAGCCATCTCATGCATGACTGATGTTTCTCTCCATTTATTTAGTTACTCTTTAATTTCTTTCCGCCCTGTTTTTTAGTTTTTAATGTATGGGTCTTGAACATATTTTATTACATTTACCCCTAAGTATCTCTTGCTTTTGGATGCTGTTGTAAGTGGAATTTTAATTTCAATTTTCAAGTGTTTGCTGCTCACAGCTGGCATAGAAATACATTAATTATGATATTGCTGTCGGTTCCTGCAAGATGCCCTTTACTGAAAAATCTCCAAACTGGTAAGATTTACCATTCGCCAAACACCTCTGGTGAAGTGAAATGAGCCGGCCAATGCTATCACATCACAAGCCAGAATGTTTTCTCAGGTATAACAGGTAACATACAAGCGACACTATGGAGATTTCCACAGCTACCCGGGACTGAGACATTTGGGGGTCTCAGACCACTGCCGAATCTGCTCCCAAGTCCAGTCACTGTCGGGGCTGCCCTTTTACACCCCCTGGGCTGCTGGTCTCCCCCGGCGCTGTCCCCGGGAATGTCCGATCATGAGCCACTCAGATGGTGTCACGGGGGAAGAGCCTACTTAGGAGAAGGGTCACTTACACCCCACGTGATGAGAGAACACCCTAGATGTCCAAGGTCGGGCTGCGTGCTCCCAAATGCAAAGCCCTTTCTACGAAAATAGTGAAGATTTTTGTCTGTGTGGATCCGTGTGGCTGTCTCTCTTGGGCACCTGCATATCCAGATGTCTTAGGTCGGTGTCCCAAGGAGAGCCTGACACAGGGATGCAGGTGCACAGGACCGATGGGGCAGGGGTGGAGGTGGAGGGCTCCCAGGAGAAGAGCTTGAGGGACATGGACAGGGCAGGGGCAGGAGCCAAGTGAGGACGTGGGCCCAGCTGGGCCCAGCTTCCACTTGACCCCACAGGAGTGGATTGTACCAGAGCACTGGTCCCCCCTGGAGGTCAGGGGGCTGGTTTTATGTGATGCCTGGGGCAGGGCTGACAAGGGGCTTCACTCCTGTGGGGATGATTCTCTATAAGAGGTGGGAGCCAAGCCACCCCAGCGTGGCTCAGTGGTTGAGTGTTGACCTATGAACCAGGAGCTCACGGGTCGATTCCCGGTTGGGGCACACGCCCAGGTGGGGGGCGTGCAGGAGGCAACCGGTCAATGACTCTCATCATTGATGTTTCTGTCTCTGTCTGCCTCTGTGAAATCAATTAAAACATCTAAAAAGAGAAAAAGAATGGTAACTTAAAAAAAAAAGTCATGGGAGCCGGGGGCCATTACCAAGCAACACTCACAGCAGTTGGGGACGGGTGTCCCCAGTACAGNGACATGGGAGCCGGGGGCCATTACCAAGCAACACTCACAGCAGTTGGGGACGGGTGTCCCCAGTACAGGGGTCCGGACGGGACTCCTGAGTCCACGACACCCAATCACACCTGCCTCCACTGAAGAGATGGTTCTGCAGGCACTGCTCGGTGCCCGAGAGATGGGCACCAGATTGTCGGGACAGCGGACTACGACGGCGATGCCAAGAACAGTGGCTCCCCGAACTCAGGGTTCAGCTGCAAAGTGCGAAAGGGCCACAGGCTTTGAAGAAGACACCAGCGTGCCCCGCGCCCGAGGCGATGGCCTCTCCCTCAGGCCCCCCTTAAACGTGGGCACATGCACGAGCTCCGCCGGAGAGGTGGTCTGAAAGGTAACTTGCAGTCAAAATGTGGCCTCTGTTCCACGTGACACCGTGGCCACCTCCATCCCGCGCCTCCCCGTCCCCCAGGCCCCGAGTGAGAAACACTCCATTCACTGCGCGCCAGGGCCCGCCTGCCGGTGACACCTGTTAGAGCAGGGCCGTGACCCGCATGAGGGGGTTCCAGACGGAGGACTCGGCCTCCTTGAACATTCAAGCCCCCCTGTGGTCCCCGACTCCGGTTCACGGTGACGGCGGCCCCCCCGCCTCGTTCTCGGACAAGCGCTCAGCCCTGTCCCGAGGGGCGGACGTGCGCGAACACAACCCACGTTCTCACCTCGCCTGGTTTGAGTCCTTGATTTGGGGGCTGATCGTCTCCCTGGGGGGACAAAGAACCAACCGGAGGCACTGAGCGAGACAACGAAGGGAAGGAGATGAGATAAAGGGATTTTTATCTGCCAGGTTCACGCAGGGGAGCGAAAGGGAAAAGTCAGCCCCGGGAAGCAAATGCCGTGTCCAAGGTCGGAGAGGCCAAGGCTGCAGACGCTTCAGGGTTTAATCTGGTCCTGGATATAACCAGGCTTTTGTCTTTTCTAAAATAAAACTTCCTTTTGCCTAATTCGGATACCACTGGGGGTCAAGTCTATACTCTGGGGTAAATGAGGAACGTTATTTAAAAAGTAGTTAATGGTGGTTTTTTTTTTCCCCCAGAGAAGCTCAAATCTGATTTTCTGTTGTTGTGCGCTGCGCCGCCTGGAGAAGGATCTGGTCAGCGTGATAACTACAGTAATTACGCCGGCAGCTTGCCCCCACCCCTGCGGGGCTCTGTACGTGGATTTAGCCAAACCCTTCAGTTTTTCAACAGCCCCTTTTGCTCTCAAACAGTTTCCCCCTTGCCCGAGCAGCTGCTCCTCCCGCGGGAATATGCAGGCCGGCCAGCGAGGCTAGAGGCGCTTCGGGTTTGTTTAGGTGCCGCCGGGATGCCAACTGGCAGGAGCGTCAGCAGGAGATAAATCAAAGGGCTGTCACCTTCCACAGCGGCACATTACAGGGGACATCAACTCGCCTCCAAACAAGACAGAGGTGGCCTTTCTCTCTGTGGGGTAAAATAT